GTTTGGATGCACTCTAAATGTGTTTGGACGCACTCTAAACGTGTTTTGGTGCACTCTAAACATGTTTAGACGAACTCTAACCATGTTTCGACGCACTCTGAAAATGTTTTAATGCACTCTAAACAACACTCCAAACATGTTTAGAGTTAGTCTAAACATGTTTCGAGGCACTCTAAATATGTTTTGACGCACTGTAAAGAGGTGTCGATTCACTCTAAACGTTTTTGGATGCATTCCAAAAGTGTTTGGACGCATTTTAAACGCGTTTGGACGCACTATAAACGTGTTTCAATACTCCCTAAGTATATTTCGATGCACTCTAAACATGTTTGGATGCACTATAAGTATGTTTCGACGCACTCTAAACGTGTTTCGGCGAACTCTAAACATCTTTCGATGCACTCTAAACATATTTGGATACACTCCAAAAGTGTTTGGACACACTCTAAACGTGTTTGGACGCACTCTAAACGTGTTTCGATGCTCTCTAATTATATTTCGACGCACTCTAAACATGTTTGGATGCACTGATGAGGTCATCCTCCTAGACTTGGAAGAGGACGAACACAAGGGGGTGGACCAGGACATTGAAGAGGAGCCAAGCATGGAGATTCGAACCAACAACAACAACACCGGCGATGCTATCTTTCCGTCTATGCTAGAACCACTACTCATGAGGTCAAAGATACAAACACGGCAGGCCAAAGTAAGGGTTCTCATGGCCCATGGGATCAAGCAAACAACTTACAAGATGGAGGGAATAAACGAGAAGGCACCAAGCAAGACAAGGATGATTCTCGGCCTTGCTTTGGCCGAGAATGGAAACTGATTTCTATTCCTTGGAGACTTGCTAAATCTGGAACAACACTTCATCTACACATGGTCAAGTCTCCACATGAATAAGAGGCTTCGAAATTAGGCAACTATCCACATCAAAGCCAAATCACTACATCAAATCTACAAGTAAGGGAAGTGAGCCAATTTCAAGCCACATCAGCATATCAATAAGGAATTGATACACACTCGGGCTTAAGAACACACGATCGATGGTGATTCTTGATTGTGAAGGGTGGATAGGTTTCAGAAGTTAGTCTTTGGCTCTAAGGCACTCGATCTTTGCTTCTAAACCAAAAGATGACGTGAATGGACTAAAGAATTGATAGGGAAATCCTTGGACAGACCAAGAGATGCTCGGACACACCAAGCAAGGAGATTAGCGAAATTGGACACACCAAAAGCTAAAGAAAACAATGCAGAAATTTTCTTATTCAAGTCTGATCTCTTCAGCTCGAAATTACAAGAAATAAATAGCAAAAGAGAAGCAAAAACAAAAGGAAATTCGTGCCTAAACAGCAGCAAGGCAACGGCTAGGAAATCTGCAAAGAAAAGGAAAATTGACAAAGATAGCAAAATGGAAATGTCTAGAAATTGTGTAAAAAGGAAAAGGAAAGATGCAACAGCTTCTTGGTAAGGAAATGTCTTCAATTTAGCTCCAAATTTCGTCCAAAAGTGATCTTCAAGAGAGTCAACTCCATTCTGATCATATCAAGGCTCCTCCAATTGCTCCTAACGGTTAGATTGTTGCAGATTCTTGGCTAAGTTATGGTCCACCTTTAATGTGATTTTTACAGCACATTTCAAGTGTCCAATAGCCAAGATGTTCAGGTCTTCTCCCACATTCAGGTTGTTGGCAACATGATCTTCAAAATGGTCTTCACTTGGTCATGTGTCTTCTTCAGCGAGTTAAACTCATGTCTTGAGGCAGTTATGGTTTCAGCCAAGTGATCCGACGTCTCCATCAGCCAATGATCTATGAACAGGTTGATTTTAGCTCTAAGGTTGCGTGCTCGAGCTCTTGTAAGTGGTGGATCCGGTAGTGTAGGCATGGCAAGCTCAGCAACTTCTCTCTCCTTGCCAAGTGCATCCGTAGCTCCTTCTTGTGTTTCATCCGTGTTCGGCTGCTCCTCATCCGCATCTAGGTCGATGACCTCATCAATCTATCCCAAGAACTCCACATATAATTGTAGAGAGTGGTGGATCGTGGCTTGAATGAAAGACCAACGAAACACTTTAAAAAAAATCTCCTTTTGGCTTGAATGAATGGCCTAAAAGGGACAAAAAAAATATGTATGTATAAAACGAGCAGGCTCCTCTTCGATATGTTCAAAATCGGGAGGGAATATGCTTTGATTTTGCAGCGGAACGAAAAACACAAGGTCCTCTAAACCTTATGCTCTGATACCATGTAGATTTTCTAGAATTTGAGTGTGTTTTGGAATGAGAATAAGGTTGAGAAGAATAATATCAAGAAGTGGGAAGATGAAAAAGGGGAACAAAGTCCCTTGTATCTACTTACGTTCTCCATAACATGTACATGATTTATAACTATTGATACAAGTTAATATATAAGGAAATATAAAGACATTCAACGGCTAACAAATATAAAAATAAGGGAATTAGATGTCGAATGATGCAATATGGAAAGTGTGCATGTGCTTGATTGATATTGGCTGATTTAGCTTGTGTCCAACGGCCATATGAGGGCCATTTTGTCACCAATAATCAAGCCACATAATCTCTGAATATCTTCTCTAAATCAGCTACGTAATCATCAATTCAAGCTATCTCCATCCACCAA